TTACCATTTTTACCTTCTGAATTTTCTTAGATCCATTCTACTACTACCTAACAATAGTGTTCAATGTTTAGGCGATCATTGTCTCTTGCCTGGGTTATTGCCTAGTCTCCTGACCACACTTCCATTCTCTCCAATCAACTAAAAGTTCACTGCTATTGAAAATACACCCCTGAGCGTGCTGCTCTTGCAGTTCTTTAGCGTGCCTTGTGAGGAATCTCCCGCTTACCTTTCTAGCTGGATTCATCATCATTCTTGCTCAAGTTTCCTGTACTTGTCATGCCACCTACAGTGGCCTGCGTGCTCATGCCTCAGGCCTTTGCACATGCTGTTTTCTTTACTTGTTGTTCTGTTCTACACATTGATAACTTCTACTCACTGTTTAAAAGTTATCTCCGATAAATTTTCTTCAATCCCCTCAAGCCAAGGGACTTTCCTTTATGCTATGAATAACTCTATTTTAGCTCCCATATAAATTTGTCTCCCCTTCTGATCTATACGTTCTTTATCTTTGCATTCTTTTTTTTTAAAGATTGATTTATTTTAGAGAGAGAGAGTGAGCGAGAGCATGCATGGACAGGGGGAGGAACAGAGAGAGAATCTAATGCAGGCTTCTGGCTAAGGGTAGAGCTGACAATGGGGCTCCATCTCACCACCCTGAGGTTATGACCCAGGCCGAAACTGAGTTAGACGCTTAACCAACGGAGCCACCCATGTGCCCTTTTTATCTTTGCCTTCTTAACATTAGTGGACCCCCTGATCTATAGAACTACTCAACAATATTTATTGAGTGAATGGTTGAATTAATTAACTGATATCTTAGAGCCCTCCATTTTTATACTTTGTGATCTTTAAAATTCCTAAATATATTTTGTTCTCTTGCCAGGGTTAAAACTCATATGTTGCTTCTCTACCCACTTGCACAGACTTGTAAGGTCTTTTTTAATCCCATCTGTGTGTTTCTGCATCAGCTGGAAGCATTTAATGTCTCCTAAACTTGGATATCTTATGTGAGCTTTTTCTTCTGGAGCAATTTAAAAAAAGATATTAAAAAAGTATCAATTCCCAAGGAGCTGAATTCTTTAGACTTCTCTGTCCAGAGAAATCCCTAATTGACCCTATCTTTTTTTTTTTTTTTGATGTATTTATTTGACGAAGAGAGAAGCAACAGAGGGAGAAGGAGAAGCAGACTCCCTGCTCAGCAGGGAGCCTGATGCCGGACTCAGTCCCAGGACCCTGGGATCATGACCCTAGCTGAAGGCAGATGCTTAACTGACTGAGACACCCAGGTGCCCTCACCCTATCATTTAATTCCTATTTTTGACCTGATTTAAAATTTTAGGATAAATCAACAGCCTAGGAACCTTTGAACCCATGATACTGTCAGTCAAAATAAAATAACTACAGTCACCACCCCAACCTTTTGTTTAGAAGGACGGCATTAATCCTCCCCCCCTTTTAAGGGTTTTATTTATTTATTTGACAGAGAGAGAGAGACAGTGAGAATAGGAACACAAGCAGGGAGAGTGGGAAAAGGAAAGCAAGCTTCCCGCTGAGAAGAGATCCTGTTGTAGGGTTCGATCCCAGGACCCGGGGACCATGACCTGAGCTGAAGGCAGACGCTTAACAGCTGAGTCACCTAGGTGCCCCCATTTGTTCCCCTTTTATCTGTGTACCTATTTCCTACATTAAATTTATCCTTTGAGGTGCCCTTCAAGAGAAATGATCTTGCCTTCTCAATTTCCTTTACATAAACTCTGTAAATGCCTTTCTTTCCCTCCCACCTGCTGCCGTAATATGTTATTTTTTTATATGTTCACTGAATCTATCCTTTCTCACAGATTTATCAGCTTGCTATTCAGGATTTGGTAGTTGCCTTGGGTGGGGATAACAAAGCATAGGCTCAAACTCCAAAATGTTTTAGAATTTTTTTAAGAAAAGTATTTATTTATTTGAGAGAGAGGGAGTGAGTGAGCAAGAGAGAGAGCACAAGAGCAAAGGTGCAGAGGCAGGCAAAGGGAAAGAGAGAAGCAGACTCCCTGCTGAGCAGGGAGCCCAGTGCAGAACTCGATCCCAGAACTCTGGGATCATGACCTGAGCTGAAATCAGACGCTTAATTGATTGAGTCACCCAGGCATCCCTAGAATTTTTTTTTTAATTCCAAAGTTCCTACAACATTAAAGTTACCACAATTAATGCTGAGATATATATAGCCATCATCAGAGTAAAAGAACTAATACTTTAAACCTTATCTTTCTTTGTAGTGATATATGTTGACAAACTTTCACCTTTCAGAAACTACCTAAACATTGACCTTGCCATTCTACATAGAGCAGTGTAATGCATAGGTCACTTCGCAGGGTATTATGTAATTAGGTTTGATTATTGCTCTATTATGCAGAGAATTTTCTTCAGTTCCTTCTGAATATTCATACTTTTTATCATTATACCTCTGAGAAGTGTGCATCCTATCTAAACATTCAATTATTTTTCCTCCAAATCACACTGAGATAAATGTAGGTAGTGCTATAAAATTGTGGGAAGTTTGAAAATCACTAAGCATCACAGGACAAAAACAGTACACCACGTTTGATAAATTTTAGGAAGACTATTTTAGGAATATTTTAGGAAGAATAATTTTGTCCTCTTTCCATAATTCTCTACTATTTTTTAAGTACATTCCATTTCTGATGTGCTACTTACTCAATCTCATGAGAACATTGGTAAAAGTATCATTACCCCACATTTAGAGATGGAAAAACATTCACTGAATGAGTAGAAGACTTACCCTGAGCACAGTGCTAATGACAGAGCTGGAACTAGAACCTAGACCAGAAATATAAGGGGGAAATCACAGCAACCAAGGAAACTACAAAGTGTCTTGTTTAGGGTAATTAGTGAGTACAAACAGTGAGTTGACAGCTACTTCTAACTGTCCTCCCTACATCTTGTAAAGAAGCTAATCTCCCCTAGAGCCTGCGTGAAGTCACAGACAGCCTTTATTTTCAGAAAGGAAGGAACTAAAAATACAGTAGCACAGCCATTTATTAACCTCAGGCAACATTATCCCGAGGTAGCAGAGTGTTTTGAAAAAATGCATGGGATTTGCCATTAGAAGACTTAGGTTTAGATCTCAGTTATTTTGCCAGTTTCTTAATCTCCTTACACTAAATACCGATTTAGTTAAAATGGGGCTAATAACACCAGCCTTACTGCCTCAAAGGGTGTTGTGATGATCAATAGATACTATCTAGAAGCACTTTATAAATTATGTCATTACTCGTCCCTGTATAGAAGTAAATAAAGCAAATCCTTCCTGTGTAGGAAAGACTGTAACATAGTTGTTAACATCATGGCTTAGCAGTCATACTGACTTGGGTTACGGTACAAGAAATGCCACCTTCTTGTTCTGTAACTTGGCTCAGGAACTTAGTCTTTCTAAACCTCATTTTTCTTCCCTTTAAAGTGGGGGAAATAATATCTTTTCATAAGTTGTATAAAGATTATATAAGATAGGGTATGTGGAATACGTAAGCTATTGTTAAGCTCTCTTGAATTAGTTTTCTTTAAGATGAACTTTTACTTTATATTAATAATTTTAGATTTCCAGAAATGTTGTAAAGATAGTATGGAGAATACTCATCTACCTTTCTTCTGGTTTCCTCTGTTGTTAATATCTTACATTTGCTACTTCTGAACAAACATTGATGTATTACTATTAACTCAACTACAGGTTTTATTTAGATTTCACCAATTTTTTTATGAATGCCTTCTTTCTGTTCCAGGAGCCAGTCCAGGGTACCACATTGCCTTTAGTTGTCATGTCTCCCCTATCTCCTTTGGTTTGTGCAGTTTATCAATCTCCTTCTTTTTCATGACCTTATCATTCTTGAGGAATATTGTCCAGGTATCATGCAGGATGTTCCCCAGTCTGGTTTTGCTTGTCGTTTTTCCCATGATTAGATTGGGATTGTGGACTTTTGGAGAGAAGAGCAGAGAGGTGAAGTGCTGCTCTTGTCACAGCGTGTCAGGGCTGCCTGATACCCACATGACATCACTGATGATGTTGACCTTTATCACTTGGCTAGTGTAGTGTTTACCAGGTTTTTCCATGGCATTTTGAGCTAATTTTGATCAGCTATCACTTATATCAGACTTTCTCTTCCCTGTCTTCCCACTGTTTGGAATGCTTTTCATTTATATTTACTGCAAATGTCATATTCAGAAATATCTTTTCTGACCACCCAAGCTAAAGCAGTCTCTATGACATTTCACTTTTATGTTTTCTTCACAGCATTTATCATTGCCTGAAATTGTCTTGTGTATTTGTTTACCTAGTTTATTCTTTGTTGATAGTCCCCCACCCCCTCAAACAAGAACATAAGCTTCGGGAGAACAGGATCCTTGTAGGATTCACATCTGTACACTTGGCGTCTAGCACAGGGCTAGCATATACTAAATGCTCAATAACTATTTTTTGAATAAATGTCAAAGAAAGAAAGACCCAGGATTAAATTATTAGTAAGTATTTCTGAAAAAAAGTGGAAAATAGCTGAATGGTAGGAGGTTCAATTTAATATTCTTAACTGAATCAGTTTAGTTTTAATGAAAAGGTTAAATGCAGTCATAAACATCTATGGAAATAAGTAATCAACATCCTTGTAATTCAGGCTCTCTTATAATGCACTTAATAATGTGAATGTCAGAGTATTTTTCTGACTTATAAGCAAGATATGACTGACAAATATAAGATGTATAAGTTATTATACATCTGCGCCATTGTGACCTTTATTTGCTAATTGGCTCAGCTTTCCTATTGTAGAACTTTTTAACAGAATCTGAAGGAGTGTAGAAATAATTGATGCCCTTGATTTTAACTTATACCTGACTTCTTAGTGTCTATTATCTTTTCATTTATATTGACAGAAAAATGGAGCTTTTTTGTATAAATCTTTCTTTTATAACCCATGGTAAGGAAGCTCTCTTTTTATGTGTTTCCTTAGGACTTAAAATCTCCAAATCAGAGGGATGAAATTGCAGGGGCCCGGGCCTCACTGAAGGAGAAGTCCCCGCTCTTGCATTCAATTTGCTCAGCTTGTTTGGAACATTCTGATGTTGCTTCCCTCCAAGCCAGCAAGGACACAGTGTGTGAAGAAATTCACAATGCCCTCAATGTAATTTCAAATGCTTCACAAGGCATCCAGAATATGCTTGCTCCACCAGAACCTAAGGCAGCAACACTAGGAAGTGCCCTTGATGAGCTTGAGGTAAGTGGAGAGAAAGATAAAATGTGATTTGCTGTGTCTCAATATGAAAATAAACAGATATGGGTTTTCAGATTGGAGTGTAGACTGTAAGTAAATAAAAATCCAATTACTTTATCAGTCTCCATCATTGCCTTGTGTCTTCCAATAAAATGATTAGCAGGAAAATATTCTATCAGTAGACTTGATTCCTTTACACTTCTCCCAAGGAAGTCAATGAATTTAAAGTGGGATTGTTGATTACACTGAAATGATGATTTTAGTTTACATCAATCAATTTATGAAATATAGGATTTATCCATTCCACAAATACTTATCATTGGCTATGTTCTTTATGCTTGGGATCAAATTGAGTAATGCTCCCATGAAGCTTATGTTCTCACAGAAGAATAGAGGCAAAAAACCAAAAGCAATGGACATCATAGATAAGTAAATTGTACAGAATGTTACATTGAGAAGGCAAGATGACTTGGAGGCTTGAAAGAGATTAGGTAATTGGGCAGATGGGGATCTAGGATGAAGATATGAAATCATGTCCCACTGTTTAAGAGACAGCACAGAAACCAGTGTGCCTGAGTGGGGAGAGTAAGGGGATAGGTCAGAGCTGAACTGAGGAGACCCAGTAGGGACAGGTTACGGAGGACTCTGTGGGCTTTTTGGGGCTCTGGCTTTTACTTCAAGTTAAATGGGATTTATTGTAAGTTACTAAGCAGAGGTATGACATTTGAGTCTTAAAAGGACTGTATCAGCTGCCTGTAGAGTATAGACTGAAGGGGAACAAAGAGAGAAGCTGAAAAACCAGGCAGAAAGCTATTATGATAATATATGTTCCATTCTTATATTTTATGTTCATCACCTCATTCCACCTCACAGTTTAATTTGGACCAGGGTGGCATCACTGAATATTAGGGCTAAATTTTGTAAGTGAAACCAACTGGATTTGACAGAACAGATGTCAGATGTGAGAGAAAGGAGTCATGGCTGACCTTGCAGGCTGGGTCATCCAAAACACACACTGAACAGAGTTTGGGATACAGAGTGTTGCTACGTATTAGTATGTGAGAAGGGAAGAGGAAGGGAGCAGGATTGAGCCAAAGAAGTCTACCTGTAAGCCAGATCCACAAAGCCTAGATCAGTCAGCAGAGAGCTCTAGAAGGAGGAGTCCCCTCTAGTGTACCTTGTCAAGAAGAAATAGCCAGGCTTTTTTTCTTTTTTTTTCTTTCCTCTTTTTTTTTTTTCCTTTGCCTCTGTCAGTCACTGGGCGCAGGTCATCCTGCTGTGGGAAGGCTATATGATGTCCAGGGATAGGGAAGAAGGAACAGCCCCTTGCAACTGAGGAACTGACCACTGGGGGCCATCTGCTGGCCTCAGTCCCCACAGCTGAGCAGTAAGTCCTACTTGGAAGGGAGATATGGACAGTACACCTCTGTGTCTACCAGAGATAATGACAAGGTTTTTTGTTTTTGTTTTTTTGTTTTTTCTTTAGCAACTGCATGGATAGTTTTCTTCAACCATAATAGGGAACACTGTGGGTGAAGCCAGTTTTGAGAGGGAGATCAGAAACTCAATTTTCAACATGTTGAGTTTGAGATATTTATCAGACATTCAAGTTTGATGTCAAAGATAATTAGCTATACAAGTCAGACATGCATTTTAATGGGAAGCAAGGTAGAGTAATACTTAAAGATAAGGGTTTTAGATCTCTTTATGTTGGGGTTTCTATCTCAGCTGTGGCACTTGTTAGGAAAGTTATTTAATTCTCAGTTTTCTTACCACTAAAATGGGAATAATAATAGGGCCTACTATGTGTTGTCAGAATCAGTAAATTAATAGTACAGGTAAAATGCTTAGAACAGTGACTGGCACATAATAAGTGCTCGATAAATTTTAGCTCTCCTTATCATGAGTGGAGATGACTATTTGGAGGCAAATTCTTCTCTAATGAAATCAATGCAATTAAATTACTGAAGTTTTCCTGGTAATGTAAAAAGTAAACTGAGCACATATAATTCCAATATTGTTCATAACATTATTTTACTTTCATGATAAACTTAGCATGAAAAATCTAATTCATTTAAATTTATAACCTTTATGTTTTTCTTTTAGTTATGTGTCTTTAAACAGATGCCTTTATTTCTAGTCTAACATTATTAAATTCCTTATTATCAGTACCTTTGCAAAAATTTGTTAAGTTCCTAATTATTAGCACCTATGTGAAAACTCTAGAAACTAAATAAGGTAGATGATTAGTGGTGACTCTTGAATGGTACCCATAATAAGACTGAAAACTCTTTGTAGGCAAGATTGTGTTTCTTAGTAATTTTATACCAGTGATACTAGCAGAAGTTAGGTCCCCCATATGTTAGTATGTAACATTTCTTGATAGCTAAACAGTTAACATAAATGTATGACTTAATTATTACAGCGTCCTTATAAGATAAATACTTTTGTTTTACAGAATAAAACAAAATAAAACTGAGACTTAGATAAGTTATATAACTTGCTCAAATCAGAAGCCTAGTGAGTGGTAGTATCCAGGAAGTGATCTAGTCTGATTCCAGAAAGTATTTCTAAGTTCTGTGCTATATTGAATTCTCACAGATACTACTTAATGTGCTTTTTTATGCTAAGATTCTTAGTGTGTGTGAACTATCAGAGAAATTATAAATGTAACCAAGCACCTGGGTCATTTAACTAGAACTGGTCTGTATTTGGAGAGTAGCTAATACGGTGAGGTAAAATTTGTTAAAATGGATGGATAGAATTGTATATAACATTTTTCATAGTACTAAACAGAATTATGTCAGGAGTAAGATGTCCAGTTTATCCCAGACACTCACTCTATATTCTTGGAATTATAGAAGAAAACAGACGATTTCCAAATTCTTCCCTTTTTTGGGACTTCTGTCTTACTTTAATTGAAAGTGGCTGCTACAGGCAAGATAAGGCAGTGTTTAGAGAGAAGGAGAAAATGTGTGTGTGTGTGTGTGTAGCACTGACAGGAGTGGGAATAGGTATAATGATGGCGCCTTCCCTTTTTCAAGATAAGTGGCTGACTCACTTCTGAACAAGGCAAGAGGGAGTCCCAAAGATATTTCCTAGAAACCTTAATGCTGTCTTAACAACCTTTGAAATCAGTTCTCAGTTAAAGCTAAGGCTGCTCAAACCAGTACAAAATATATATAAAATATCTGAGTTACAAATAGGTGCTGAGGCTGTCTGAACTAGATAAAGCAGAATTTATTGAGCATTTAGCTTTTTAAAATGGTTTTGTAAATTAAATGGTTGCATTTTTCTTTATTTACAGGAAGCTGTGTTGGTAAAAGATCCAAAATAACCTTTGCTCTGTCTTGCTTCTGCAAATATAATACTATGAAATAAACTGATGTAGTAAATACTCTGTTGGGAGTAAGTCTCATTAAATGTTTATAGTGTGGAAATGTATCAGAGTGCTTATTCAACAACTACCATGCTGAAGCTTTGTTAAATCTTTCATTCTGGCTCATGGCTGGTTGTGGGTATGGAATCCGAGATTTATTGGTAAAGGAGAAAATAGAACTTGAATTAGAACACTATGCAAGCTAAAGGGGTTGATTCATTGGAGAGCCTAATGTGAATTATAGGGCATTCTTTTGCATTGGTGACTGAATGAGAGTTGTGAAGAGTCAAATTATAAATTAACAGAATTTTGAAAATACTTTTAAGCAAGAAACTTTGCCAGTGAAAATTGCTTTGAAACTCCAAGTCCATTAAGACATATTTTCTCTTGTGCAGTAGGATAAAGTAGCTTTTATAATCATGGTCTGTAAGAATTATCCAGATCCTCATGTGATAAAGATGATAATAACAAGGGTTTTTTTTTTTTTTTTTTTTTAGTATTTTTTCATTTTCAAAGAACCTTCATATTTATTTTCTTATTTTTAGGTATTCATTTCTGTATCATCATTCACATATTTCTTTATTCCCTATTTTTTGTTGTATTTCCAACACCTAGAATAATGCTCTATACATAGTAAGTGCAAGGTGATTATCATTGAGTTGAAAGAAGGAAGCAAGAACGAGGGAAGAAAGGAAAGCATGCAGGTAGCAATGCTGTATGTCATTTTGTGATTTGGATTGAAGAGCATTTTCCCTTTACTCCTTTTTTCCCCTTTCCTTTCTCCAGTTGGTAGTGCATGTACTCGGGGTATATTACTCTACTTAACTTTTAACTGGGACATGAATTTAGTGAGGTAACTACTAGAAACATATCTAAGTGATAGGCTGCTTAGATTTTTTTCTGTGATAAGAGAAAAATTTTTTATTCTTAGTAGTTATTTAGCCTAATTTCTATCCTTAGTTTAGATTCCCTGCAACTGCCAAGATCTGCTGTCTTTACTGAGAGTAATAATGAGGAATGTTTTTACCTGAAGGAGAAAACAGGACGATCCTCAGAGTAGCATTTTGTAGCTAAAGAAAAAATAGGCATCACTGATGTCTAAAAGCACTATAATATGATTTCTTTTTAAAAAGTCTTGATTTCTAGAAATATAGTGAACCAGAAGAACTAAAAGTGATACATAAAGTATTTTTAAATACATGGGTAATATGATAGGTAAATTAGGGAAATTCAGTTGAGGTCAGCCAGATATAAAGAGCCGACATCCAGACTAGCAAGCCAGCAACAGCACTGTGCTGGCGGATGTGAGAATTTCTTTTCCATTATGGCCTGTAGCTTGAATTTTGAAAGACCAGGAACTGAGGACAAAAAGCAAAGCTTATATTCTGGCACCTGGAAAGTCACATGAGAGCCTTTGCATGAAGCTGAGGATCCTTTAATTTCACCATCTTATTGAATAAACAAGAAAAACACTTTCTTATAGCAGGAGATAGGAAAACTTGGCTGGCTTAACTTTGGCTCTGGGCAGCTCAGAAAAAAGAGTACAAAATACCTTGGAGATTTTTTTTTTTTTTAAGATTTATTTATTTACTTTAGAGTGTGCTCACACCAAGAGTGGAGTGAG